AGAACTCACTACGTAGACCAGGCTGGCCTTGAACTCACAGAGACCCGCCTGCCTCTGCCTCCCAAGTGCTGGGACTACAGGTGTGTGCCACCATGCCTGGCTAGTTCTGTTAATTTTAACAGTATTCCTTTTGCAGCATGGGGTATGGGATCCAGGGCCTTGCCTATGTGAGACAAGCACTGCACAATAAACCCAGATACTCTCCTGTCTTTTCCATCATGTAAGGACCCAGTTTAAAGACACATCTACAAACCAAGAAGCCAGTCAGCCAGCCAGCCCTTATAGCAGCATAAACAAAGTCTGTCATAGAGTTCATGATGATTATGTGAATATAATCACAGCATTTGTGTGACATTTGATTGTAGGTAATTAAGACTTTTCCTCTACAGTTTCTCTTCTACAGTTATTCTACAGGGGAGGGAATTATCTTTTGAGGGGGGATGCTAGGAATGAACTCAGAGCCTTGCATGTGCTAGTTCAGTGTTCTATCCCTAAGCCATATATATACACAGACCCATAAAGCAACTCTTCCCCCTTAGAAAATATAAAATATGAAATGCAGAGCCTTCCAGAGTTTTCTGTATTCAGCAAAGATCAACTTCTTAGTCAAGAAGAGTTTGAGTTCCACAGAGCGCTTAAGAATTTCTCTACCTCTAAACCACTCAAAAGCCACAGGGACAGTAAGGAGCAGAGGAAACTGCCTTTCATAAAAATTGGAGACACCCATAACCGTATTGTAGGAAGGTTATGAAAATGTCAAGTAGGCCAGGAATGTGGCACACACTTTAATCCCAGCACTCTGGAGGCAGAGGCAAGTAGATCTCTGTGAGATCAAGACCAGCCTTGTCTACATAGTGAGTTCCAGCCAGTGCCACTTAGTGAGACCTTGTCTCAAAACAGAAAAGGTCAAGTAGGAGTGACTAATGGGGAAAAGATAATGGGGAAAAGATTCATGTTGGCTCAAAATCTACAGGAGTTGGAGAAGTTATAAAGGAAAACCATGTGTACCAGTGGTACTGTGAGCTGGGGAGGGAGCTTCTACCTACCTTATGAATATCCATCTTCAGTGCTAGGGATGGACCCAGGCAATGAGCAAGCAATGCTCTTCCACTGAGTTACATACTTAGTTTATGAATGGTCTTAGACTGCTATCTTTCACAAGGAAAAATAAAAATAATGAACTCTCACACACAATTCTGTGCTTCAAAGAAAATTCTTTCTAGCCTGGAACTTGGCCCTGATAGCCTCCAACCCCATTCTAACCTCCTCCGAGTAGCTGTGTAAGAAGAATTTATTTCAGTTCAAACCGAATAAGAATTAATAGATAATACTACATAGGATCTATACTATGAGAGACTAAGAAAAGGGGAAAAAACAAATATCAAATGAACAATGGTTACTAAAAATGTAAAAGATAAGTTAAAGCATGCAATTCCATTGTTTAAGTAAAATACCCTAAAAAATGTGAATTATGACAAAGAGGTCAAGGAAAATATGGTCAGTCAAAGTTGAGTCTAGGGGCACAGGCCTATAATCTCAGTCCCTTAGGAGGTTGAGGCAAGAGAGTCTCAGGTTCAAGACTAGTCTGGGCTGCACAGTGAGTTCAAGACCAGCCTGAGCAATTTAGTGAGACTGCTGGGATAGAAAGAAGATTGGAGATCTAGCAGATTATTTGTCTGGTATGCTCAAGGTTCTTGGGTTGGTCTCCAATACGGGATAACTTGGACTTCTGGATGAGAGAGAGAGAGAGAGAGAGAGAGAGAGAGAGAGAGAGAGAGAGAGAGAACAAGAGATTATGGTGGGTCAAAAGAGGGAATATATAAATAAAGTGATAAGTATTGATGATAAGTTTCAAGAAGAGGATGAAAAAGTCATCACAGAAACAAAGGTAAATTGGAAGCAGCACAAATGATAGGAATGAAACAGTATGGGGGAAAGGAAGCTAAAAGCCAGAATTGATGAAAAGTTCAAAAAGAAAAGAGAAAAAGGGCAGCAGTGAAGGGTGATCAAGAAAATTCAGCAGGTGTCTAATTGGTGTCTTTGAAAAAGGGATCCAAAATAATAGAGAACAAATATTTCAAGACATACTTTAAGAAAATTTACGAAAAAAGAAGACTGAAAATAAAAATGGAAAGGCCGTAGTGCATGCCAGGAAAATTTTATATACATCCATCTACAGAACAATCAGTAGCCAGTTTTTGGATTTTTTACATTTTTATTTATTATTTTATTTTATGTGTGTGCATGTATTGTCTGCATGTATATAGGTGCACCCATGTCATGAAATGCCCACAGAAGTCAGAAGAGAGTGTCAGATCCAATGGAACTGGAGTTACGGAGAGTTGTTTATTGCTATATAAATGCTGGGATCTGAATATGGGTCTTCTTCAAGAACAGCCAGTGCTTCTAACTGCTGAGCCATTCTCCAGCCCCCAGTTATTGGATTTTTAAAGCTAAATAAAAACTGGGATATTCAACCCCAAACTTCAGATTAACTATATGAGGAAGACAATCAGGCTGGCTTCAAACATCTATTAATAAACATTTGTTGTTTCTAGGAGACAAGAGCATCCTAAGAGCAGCATTATAAATACATTGAAAGTATCAGTCAAGAATTTAGATTATACACATTAATTAACACACCAGACACATTAACGCCTTGATTTTCATTATACCTATAATCTAAAGATCTGATGATCAAATATTATTCAGAGGAAACAAAGACTTATACCCTCATCTGCACCTGAGAACAGCATGTAGATTCACATACAATATCAAAATGTAAAGACATTTTTAAACTTGTGTTGCTGAAATAATACGGTTTAGCAATTGATTTGAAAACAGACTTCCTGGAAATAAGCTCTGGGGAAGTGTATGAGCTCTCCCCAAGCAAATCTCTTATACATTGCATCGCTCGCCCCTCTCCAGGAGAAGGTGTTTGCAAATGTTCTTTGGAAATTATAGTAACAGTTTATTTTCTGTACTGCAAAAATTGTTCTGGCTGTACTGGTGGTACATACTTGTAATCCCACCTCCTTAGGAGGATGTGGTAGGAGCATTGCAAGTTCATGGCCTGCCTGGGCAAGAGTGAGTTTGAGGTCACCAGGCAACTTAGTGAGACCCTGTCTCAAAATAAAAAATATAAATGAAAGGACTGGGCACGTAGATCAGTGGCAAAGTGCTTACCCAGCATGGGCATGGTCCTGGGTTCAAGCCTCAGTAATTAAAAAACAAACAAAAAAAATAAAGCAAAACAACATTAACAAAAGCCTCCTTTTCAGCTTATAAAAAAAATGAAAGATTTCTGAAGTCCCCTCCAATTGAAGTCCCATTTTCTTGGCATGTAAAGAAAGCACTACCAAGCACACAGACACATGCAGAGAACCACACTCAGAGAGGCTAAATATACGTACCTGATAACGTGTTGGCTGACTGAGGATGCTGTTAAAACTGTGTGATTCAAAAACTCTCGAGTTAGACTGAGTGAAGAGGTTTAACTAGGAAAAAATACAATTAACCTAGTAAATTAGAATACATTTATTTCGAACCAGAAACATAGCATATTTTATTCTAGTAGATGACATTTCTAGAGTCAACTCTTCTGAGGAATATTTTGTGGAAGTTGGCTTTTATGAGGGGCTTAAATATTTCTGAAGGTAAACACATGTTCACATTCATCAAAGTGCTGATATGATGCAGTGCATGTAACAAAGCTATTCATTAAGGATGTGTTTTAGCATTGAGGGCACATAGAGAAATTCAAATATAAGAACAGAGCTAAGGCTGGATTAGATAAATTGTATAAACAGTAAAAGATTAATAATAAAATAAGTACTAATTTATACTAGGTATATGTGTTTCTTTACAAAACTATTTTAAGTCATGTTATATTTGTGCAATAAATTAATATTTTAATATTGAGGAAAAAAAGAATGTGTTTTAGAAGTTGGCTTCTATGGAACGTAATTTTTCCAGAGGAACCGGTACATTTATCATCTAGAACACCAAGTATCTCAGAAGCAGCTTGATTGGCTGCTGAGCCCAAGTTCCTCTTCCAAACTTAACAAAAGCATATTACATGTGTGGGTGGTCCTATAGATATTTTGTAGCCCTAAAATATTAGCCAAAATAATACTTCTTTCCAAGTATCTTGCGTTGTACTGAGCAAAGATCAGAACTTTGGAGAGAACTGGATTAAAGGATGCGCTTTTATTCTTAAGGTTTAGATTCTGAGTAGGCATCTAGCCCAGTCCATGCTTCAAACAAGAGCAGGGACTTCCAGTTATTTAAGGGCAAGCTGCCACCTACAGGATGTGATTCTAAAGCAGGGCCCCCATCTATCCAAAATTTATATTCTCTCCACCTCCTAAGCCCCACCACAAAGGCTGGGGGAAGGTGTGGCAGGCAGGTGTGGCAGGTGAGGGCAGAGGAAGCAAGACAGGCTTCTCTTCTGTTCACTGTTGAGCGAGCCAGGATTGGGTGGCCTGATGAAGTTAACTTTCTGCCACTAGGGGTCAGTATCTAACTGCTGACTGAGGTTAACTGTCTCGGTTAGTAGGAAAGGTTTCTTGAAGCTCTTTCCTTTCTTATATGAAATAAACAAAAATTCAATAAAAAATTAGAAATAGAAATTCTCAAAGAATTAATAAAAATATTATTTTAAATTAAAAAAGAAAACAGAAAAGTAGAATTTCTTCTTTTTAATGGTGTCAATTAAATGAAGAAAGCCTATATGTTTATGAGCAAAATTAAAAAGTTTTAGCCAGAGCCAAGCATGGTGGTGCACATCTTTAATCGCAGCACTGGGGAGGCAGAAGCAGGTGGATATTTGTGAGTTCGAGGCCAGCCTTGTCTACATAGCGAGTTCCAGGCTAGTTGGGGCTACAGGAAGTCCTTGTCTCAAAAAGACAAAAAAAAAAAAAAAGAAAAAGAAAAAGATTTAGCAAAATGTAGTGATGCATACCTGGAACCCCAGATGCTGGGGAAGGTGAGGCAGGAGATCATATTCAAGGCCAACCTTGGCAATTCAGGGAGATACAGAAAGACTGGGAAGCTGAGGCAAGGCCTAGGTTCTACAGATGAGCGCTCAGCCTTCCTTCTGTCTCCAGCATCTTCTCTGAGAAAAGCTCCTCTATAGTTAATGGTGCAACCCAGCAGGCATGGGCACTCTGAAGAGTGCTCTCCTTATGTTCCTGCAGAGAGGCCTAGGCAGTCAAAAGCCATCTGGAAGCGTTCTGCTCACCTGGCTTTTGGTGTCCCCCATCTATACTGTGACTGTGTTAGGAAGGACTGAAGTCCGTGAACTCTTGCTACAGAAGGAAACTTTCAGGTATGTTCTCTGAAGTGTAAAAGTTAGCTCCCATACTTGAGAGGCTTTCCTTTTAATAATACTCAGGTAGCAAGGCCTCCTAGAAGGATAAAGTCATGGAGCCTGTTTAAGAAACCAGTTACTAAGCCAGGTGTGGTGGCACTCGCCTGTAGTCCCATCACTTGGGAGGCAGAGGCAGGTGGAGCTCTGTAAGTTCAAGGCCAGCCTGGTCTACATAGTGAGTTCCAGGCCAGCTGGGGCTATAGAGAGACCCTGTTTCAAGAAGACCGAAAAAAAAAAAAAAAAAAAAAAAACCCAAGAAAAAACCTGCCCTGTGCTGCCTGCTGCTAGCTTGAGTACCTTGCACAGGGGACTTACTTGAATGGTTTCATATGCCTCATCTATAAAATGAGATGACACCCACTTTATGGCATTGCACAAAGTCCACAGCAAAGCACTGTGGAGACAGATAAGGAAGGGCACTGCTATTTGGCAAAGCTGAACCTGAGCGTATCTCATTTAATCATCACAGTAGCTCTGTGTCTTTCCTCTCTTAGGTGAGGTGATTGGCACTCAGAGAGGTGAGGCACTTTAGCTGTTACTTGCTAATGTGTCTTAAGAGACAGAGCCCAGACTCAGGTCCAACCCACGATCCTCATATCATGTGGCTTCTCACTGTGCTTGCAAATCTAGGCATGAACATCCAGTCACTGTTGCAGAGCCTGTCAGCCTTGAGAGCCCACATCAAAAGACGACTTAAAAGGCCACTTCCTTATTTATTTATTTTGTGATGCTGGGGATGGAACCAAGAGCTTTGCTAGGAAGCACTGTGCCACTGAAACACATTCCCAGTACAAGGCCACTTTCTTAATGAATCTTGGAAACACATCTACTTTAATAAACAAGAAATTAAATTGTATCAATTCTTCCTTTCCCCACAGCTTCATCTGAGAAAAAGCATCTTCCTTTGCTCACAAAGGCCTGTGTTTCATAGAAATGACATTATTGTGGGTCTCTAGAGTATTACAGCTACAGACCATTTTCACAATTTTTTTTTTATCTTTTTTGAGACAGGGTCTCCCTGTAGCCCCAGCTGTCCTGGAACTCACTTTGTAGACCAGGCTGGCCTTGAACTCACTGAGATCTGCCTGTCTTTGCCTCCCAAGTGCTGGGATTAAAGGCATGCACCACCATGCCCAGCTCACAATGTTTTTTTGAGACAAGGTCTCACTCTATAACCCAGGCTGGCCTCAAGCTCATTGTGACCTTGAATTTGGAGGCTTCTATGTCAGTCTACCAAATACTGGGACTACAGATATCCACCATCATGACAGGCTCCATTTTCACAATTTTAGACAAAAATTATATTTGATTTCTCATACATTCATTCCTGTCCACTTCATTCCCCACTATTTGAAATATACCCATAATCTTGTATCTCCACACCAATTTTATCTATGAAAACTAAGTTCATACTAATGAAATGTCACTATGAAATTAACCTTCCTGAGTCAGGTGGGCCAACTCAGGGTCAAACCATTCCTCTTTACAAAAGGTATTCATTGCTATTTGAGGATGCACTAGAACTTTAAAGATCCAATAAAGGGTCTAAAAACACAAAGAGTATGGCAATGGTGAATCATGCCATAGAAGAAAAGCTGATGTCAAGACTATTTGGCTTCAAAGTAACAGTTGAGAAGTGTGAGGCACACAGACATAAAGTGTTTTCTGATAGTAACTTTCTTGTTTGTATTTAATAAGCTAAAGAAGTTTTTCATTTGCTTGTATTTATTGTGGCAGCTTACATGAGAAGCTGACCTAAAGCAGGGCATAGACTAAGTGACTTTTTGAAACACAATGCAGATAGCATTATCAGTCTCTGAAAGGCCATGGGATAGGCAGCTACTGTCAATATCTTTTAAGATCACATATGGAAATTATTGAACAAACATCAAAAGACAAGGAGAAAGAGACAAAACATTATGGTCTTGGTAAGCTTCCAGTACCTACCCTGGACTTTGAGTTACCCATTCCCATTTCCAGATCCTTCTGTAGCCTTCTCCTCCTGCACTTGGAAAAATTAGTGATCCGCATGATGAAATAAACAAATGATTTTGGACTAGGAACCAGACTGAAGGGTGGGGGCAATGTTTTCCCATCATCAAAGTATGATAACCAAAGTTTTGAACGAGCAAATTTCCATTCTACATCGCTGTCATCCTGTCACAAAACAAAATTCATCGTCAAATTAGTAAGTTTTAAAGATTTTATTTATCTTTTAAATATACATTTTAAACTTTTAATTTATTTAATGTATGAGTGTTATGTCTTCATGCATGTAAGTGCACCCATGTACAATGCCCATGGAGGTCAGAAGAGAGTGTCAGTCCCATGGAACTGGAGTCACAGACAGTTGTTAGCTACCTGTGGGTGCTGGGGCTCGAACCCAAGTCTTCTGCAAAAGCAATCAGTGCTTTTAGCCACTGAGCCATCTCTCCAGCCCTTATTTTATTTTTAATGTGTGTGTGTGTCTGTGTGTCTGTGGTGAGTGCAGGGCTTGTGGAAGCCAGAAGAGGACATCAGATCCCCTGTAGCTGAAGTTAGAGGTGGTTGTGAGTTGCTGGACACTGATACTGGGAATCAGACCTGGGTCTTCTGCAAGAGCAGAATGTGCTTTTAACTACCGAGCCATCTCTACAGCTCCACAGTTACTAAATTCTAAATTAGGCATTCTATTAAGTGATATATGTTCTTACAGTGAATCTACATTACTTTTGAAATAGGTAAATAACATATTTATCGGTATATAATTCCTACATGGCTACATAATATAGTATCTTCTACTCAGATGCTTTGTCTTCCATATATGTCTGTTTGCGCCCACTGAAGTATAAGCAGAATTTCCTGTACTTCACTCCAAGGTAAAGCAAAAAGGCAAGGAAAATTCAGAGTCAAAGAAGGATAAACATGGGGCCAGAGAGACGGCTCATCATTAAGAGTATTGGCTGCTTTTGCAGAGGACCCGGGTTCAGTTCCCAATCCACATGATGGCTAACAACCATCCACAAATCCAGTCCCAGATGATCCTATGCCCCCTTCTGATCTCTGTGGGCATTGCACTTATATACATGCAGGCAATACACTCATACACATAAAATAAGAAAGATAAACATATTAATTGCTGTTTTCCTCCCTCACTCCCACCATTTCCTCATGTTCAACATTGGTGCCCATACTCTGCCACACCTCATTCTCTCTTGATCCATCTAAACCAGGTTCTAGATAGAAATCTTACTCCAAAGGCAAAGGAAAAGACAAAAATGGAATTTAGATAAATGTTCTTCCAAACTCTGAACATTCTGCCCAAACAAAGAATATTGCCTGTGTTTGTCAGGCATCTATCAATTCTTTTACCAGAAGCAATGGGTTGGCTGGTCTGAAAGATGAAAACCTCCCCATAGCCAATATTTCTAGCCAATAACCTTACAACTTTTGAAATATATCCTGAGAAAAAATAGAGTGGTAGTAAGCCCACGGAGACTCCTGCTGTGCTCCAAAGAGCAGAGAGGTGTGAGATTGCCTATCCAGGTAGAAACAAAGGCTCTCTGCTTGGCTGTCGGGCTCTGTGAGGGACCTGGGGCTCTTACAACAGGGCCCAGAGAAGATGTCACATTGTTAGTAGAAGAAAGTGGCACGAGAAACCTTGAGGACAAGAAACAGACTTACCTCAATTTCTTGATATGAACTATTAATCATAGCAATTAGCATGTTGAGTAAAACCACCACCATGGTGACATTGTATATTCCATAAAGAACATATCCAATATTCTCTATGAATTTGTGATCATATTTGAGCACAACAGAAGTTACTTCAGACAACCCAAATATTGACCAAAACAAAGTCTTGAAACTTTCTTCTACACTGTTGAAAAATAAAACATACAGCAATGAACAGTTTCCAGTACTGAAAAGCAAAAATAAAAACAAATTAGCATCTTATACTACACGATGTAAAATACCATTATGAAACGCCATCAGCAGGGGTTGGTTAAGAGCAGAGGACCCAGGTTTGGTGTGAAGTACCCACATGGCAGCTATCATTCTTAACTCCAGCTCCAGGGAATCTGATGCCCTTTTCTATCATCTGTGGATATTGTATGCACATGGTACACTTGCACACATGCAGTCAAAACATTTATACACATAAAATAAAAATAAATCTTTTTATTATTTATTTTGTTGTTATCCTTGCTGTTTTAAGACAGAGTCTCACTATGTAGCACTGGCTGGCCTAGAAGTTCCTGTGTACACTAGGCTGGCCTTGAACTCACAGAGATCTGCCTGCCTCTGCCTCTCCAGTGCTGGGATTAAAGGTATGCACCACCATGCCTGGTAACAAATATTTTTTAAAAATACCATCGTCATTATCTCTTAACAATTGCGTCTAATACTTTTTTTTGAGACAGCTGTAGCCCCAGCTGGCCTGGAACTCACTATGTAGACCAGGCTGGCTTTGATCTGACAGAGATCCACCTGCCTCTGTCTCCCAAGTGCTGAGATTAAAGGCATATGCCACCACACCCAACTCTACTAAAATTTTTTAGGAGAATCATTGTTGTATTTATTTTTGAGACAGTTCTACTCTGCAGCCCAGTTGAACTTGAACAGGTTTTTTTTTTTTATCTTCAACTCTAAATCATGGGGTTACAGGGATATGTCACCATGCCCAGGTTGTTATAATTATCAACAGAAATTATTCTCTGAGGTTTTCAGGAACTGGTGCCAATACCTAGCTTTCTGAAGTCATCATCAAGTAAAAATTCACTGAGCAGGAGAAAGCTGAAGTCATGTCACAATACCCAGACCATTCTCCTAAAAATATGAAAGTTTGGAGTCTGATTTTAAAGCAGATTTTCTGGATTAGACCAGAACCAGGATTAAAATTAAACACTTACTTCAAAAGAGTATGTAAAAGTATATTCTTGGCATCATGATAATCTCGACATCCAAGAACAAGCTAAATAGTTCTGATACATCAAAAGGGTTGCCGGGCATGGTGGCACACGCCTTTAATCCCAAAACTTGGGAGGCAGAGGCAGGAAGATCTCTGTGAGTTCAAGGCCAGCCTAGTCTAGATAGTGAGTTGGAGGTCAGCTGGGGCTACAGGGAGACCATGTTTCAAAAACAAACAAACAAACAAACAAACAAAAAGTGTTGGATGACATGCAGCCATGGGGGAAAATGAGACAGTGGTAAATATCTCCCTGTGGATTTAGGATTTCGGGAGCTGAGACTGTATTTCTACCCCATCCCAGGTCGGACTATGTTGTTGATTTCCAGACCACACTGTGAGGACCACTGTCTGCTCACCTGTGGTCCCAGCTACTGGGAGGCTGAGGCAGGAGGATGCTGGAGCCCAGGATTCAAAGCTAGCCTGGGCAGGATAGTGAGACCCTTCCTTAAAAAACAAATAGTTAGCAGGGGCTGGAGAAATAGCTCCTTAGTTAACAGCACTGGCTACTCTGGCAGAGGACCCAGGTTTGATTCCCAGCACCTACATGGTGACTAATAATCATCCTTAACTCCAGTTCCAGATGCCCTTTTCTGGTCTCTGTGGGTATTATACACATGTGGTACACTTACATACATGCAAGTAAAACACTCATTTTTTATTTGATTTATTTTTTTTTTGAGACAGAGTCTCCCTGTAGCCCCAGCTAGCCCAGAACTAGCTATGTAGACCGGGCTGGCCTGGAACTCACAGAGATCCACCTGCCTCTGCCTCTTGGAAGCTGGTACTGAAAGCTTGTGCCACCATGCCCAGCTACTTTTTAGCTAAGTGTGGCACGTACTGTTAATCCTAGCCCTCAGGAGGCAGAGGCAGGAGGATCTCTGTGATACTGAGGCCAGCCTGGTCTACACAGCAAGTTCCAAACTAACTAGGTCTACAGGGAAACCCTGTCTCAAAAAAAAGTATTTTTGATCCATGGTTTACTGAATCACAAATATGGAACACAGATTCTGAAGCTCAACTGCACCTCTTCTCTGGAAATAATATTCAACTGGAAGAGAAGGAAGACAACAGAATGGGAGATTCCTAGTCCTGCCACCGTAACAAGTGCACTGGCCCCAGAGAGACTAATCACCAAATCTCATCCCTCATATGGCTTTCTGTCAACTTGTGTTTGATTGATTTTATCATATGATCAACTTGTAAACACTTAGGACCCCCCCCCAGAACTCACTATGTAGATGAGGCGGGCCTCAATCTCACAGAGATCTGCCTGCTTCTGCCTCCTAAGTGCTGGAACTACAGGCCTGTGCCACCACACCTGGCTTTATTTTTTTAAAATATTTACTTTAATTTTATGTATATGGGTGTTATACCTGCATGTGTGTTAAGTGCACCCATGTTGTGCAATGCCCACAGAGGACAGAAGAGGGTGTCAGATCTGCTGGAACTGGTGTTACAGATGGTTGTTAGCCACCATGTGGGTGCTGGATCAAACCTGGGTCTTCTAGTACTCTTAACCACTGAGCCATCTCTCCAGCCCCAGTGACCACTGATCTGTTAACTGAATAAGGAACTCTTAAAGCAGTAATACAGGTTCATTACAAAGCACAGCTGAAAAATAGCCTCCTCCCCCAAAAATGTTTCATGGAAATAGTACTTTAAAAAATATCTTAAACAAATTCCAAATAATAATGTAGCCTATAGACTTGTAGGCTTAAATACTACTTCATTTATTTATTCACACACTCAACCAATAGTGATTATATATCTATTATGTTCTAGAAATCCTGCTAGTTCCTAGGGATAGAGGGCTGAGTAGAAAAGATTTCATTCCCATATAGAGGGTGTGTCCCTCTGTGATGAAACTCTAGACTGTGTGATGTTATAATGTAGATGGAGGCAGGAGGCTAAGAATTGTCCCTGTGTTTGCATTACTCAGCCCATCACAGCACTACTTGGCTCCTCTCAGCTTCCACGTAGAGGGGATGTGTGGGGACAGGGACATATTCAAATACTAACAGGAAAGGACACTGGATCTGAGTTCCTACTGTGGGCAAGAGACTTTATATAACTAGCTTTATGTAATCCTCACAACGACCTTATTTCAAACCTATCACGCTTATTTAAAAAATGACGAAAATGATACTGCGAAATGTTCAGTAATGTAATGAAAAGGACGCAGCTAGAAAATAATAGACTGCAAAAATCCTGGTCTGTCAGATTTTCCAGTTAATATTCTTTCCCCAACATTATGTTGCCATGCCTCCATTGCCGGGGGCGGGGGAGAAGAGGGCACTGGGTCTCTATGCAGGACCTCTGTCCATTAGGGGCACTGTGCCCCTGTGCAGGATATACCATCAATTTAGGGTGGGCACTATGCAGGGCCTCTGTCCAATCAGCAATGGAGTCACATAGATTTTTTTTTTTTCATTCATTACAATGTGAGCGTCTGGTTTCTTTCACCTTTAAGACCTGCTCTACTTTAACTATTTAAAAAAATGACTTCAGAACGACTTAGATGTCTTCAAGGGCTTGATGTTACACTTTATCTACAGGGAATTTACTGAATGGGGATCTGGCTTCCAATTGAAGCATTATAGAGAACAAAGTGAAGAAGGATTTGTGATCTTCCTGTCTATAAGGACACACAAGGTAGTGTGAGCCCATGACCACCAAACACCCATGGGCCAGAGAGTCTCACAGCTGGATAACTCTATGCTGGGGAAAACTGTCAGTGATAGTTGCTATGGAGGTTACTCAAGGAAAACTTCAGGGAGGAGGTGACTCTTCAGGGAAGAAACCTCATAACCAAGGGTAGAACTGGCATTCCCCTCACAGGAGCTATAAAGGCTGCTTCTGAAAATATTTTTACTGAAACTGAACTTCCTTTGTTCTATTCTAAACTTGTTAGAATTTCTCTTCATACTTAAAAAATTTATTTATTTAATTATTTATATAATGAGTGTTTTGCCTGCATGTATGCAATGCCCACGGAGGCCAGAAGAGGACATCAGATACCCTGGAACTGAAGTTATGGACAGTTCTTTGCCACCATGTGGGTGCTGGGAACTGAACCCAGGTCCTCTGCAAGAGCAGCCAGTGCTCTTAACTGTGAGTCATCTCTCCAGCCCTTCACACCTTTTTAGTAAGATGTTTTACTTACGTGGTAAAAGCAGGATTTACTTTGGCCCCAAGGTAGTAAGAATAAAGTATGAACATGCCAATCATGAAGGCCAGAAACACCATAATGAAGAGAACCATGAACTTGAATATGTCCTTCACAGTCCTTCCAAGAGAGATCTGCAAAGGCCCAAAGCTCTCATTTGCAGGGAGGATATAAGCGATCCGGGAGAAGCTGAGCACCACGGCTATGGCATAGAGGCCTTCAGATATGATCTGAGGGTCAGAAGGGAGCCATTTATCCCTAGCTAGAAAAAGGAAGAAAGAGATTAAAAATGAAGTTTTCTACTTATTCCTAACCATGCAAAGTAAATACTTTAAAATAGATCTATTGTATAGACAGGTGGTTCTTATCTTCATTGAAACTGCTACAAATTTAGTTAACTGTTCAGATACTATTTTTTAATGTTAAGCTAGAAACAACATCTATATTACTTTCAATAGAGGAAACATTATTATGAAGATACTAAGATGACTTCACACAGCACAGGAACAGAGTAAAATACAAAAGACAAAGAGACTGAATGCTTCCTGGACACAGACTGTTCAGGATAATGACAGCTGGCATTCACCATCCTCTCAGGTGTCAGCTTTATTCACTGGTAAAGCTGCAGTGAAACTTCTTTTCCGTATTTTGAAAACTAATTAAACAGTTAATGCAAGTAAAATCTCCAACAAGAAGGGAGAATGTCATCAAAAACGGTGCTGACCTCAGGAGATCTGAGCCGTGTGACTGGTTCCCAGAGAACAAAAACACCAGAAGTATCAACAACAGGATATAGACTGGGAATGAGGACCCATGACAGTGGACAGCAGATCTAGTTTCCTGACCAGCCAGTGAAACATTATGTGGTTAACTTTGTGCAAACTAGGTTACTTACAAAAGAATGGTTACATCGTAGACATGTGTAACAACAAGCTTAACATCTGTTGAATGTCTACCATGTCAAGACACTGCCTTCAACCACCCAATGTTATCTATCCTCTTTATAGAAACAGAAACTAAGACTTAGAAAATTAAAAACAAAACAAAACAAAACAAAACAAAAAAAACAGAGGAAATATGGGAGGAGTTGGAGCGGGGAGAGGAAGAGGTGGAAATTATGTTTTGTTTTGTTTTGTTTTAGTCTTTTTGAGAGAGGGTCTCCCTACAGTCCCTACTGGTCTGGAATTCACTATATAGACCAGGCTGGCCTCAATCTCACAGATCTGCCTGTCTCTGCCTCCCAAGTGCTGACATTGAAGGCATATACCACCATGCCTGGTAGAGGTAGAAATTATGTAAATATAGTACTTAAATATGAAAATTCTCAAAAACTTAAATTATAAAAAAAACATATAAAAAGTAGGGAGGCCTGAATTCATAAATTCCCTGTAAACAGCAGTCACTAAATACACATGAATAAATTTAAATATACGGGTTATAGAAATAGTCAAGATATATATGACATAAAAACACAATTTTAGTTCTTTTCGTTACAAATGGTGACCATATGGTCCTTTGAACTAGTGTCCTTGGTACACCAAAACCCTTACTTGTTGATAATGACGGGTAATGTGTTTAAATGTCATACCTTGGAGTATGTAACTCAGACTCTCTAAAAAAATCTTAATGTACTCTTCATGAAGTTAAGTCCTAACTGCACATGTAAAGAGTCCTCCTCCCAACCACAACACTTTTAAACTCTGTGTTTAGGCACTCATATCTTAAAAGGAGTGTCAGACAATGTTTTATTGAGTTATTGTGATACTGGGAATTGAACCTAGTGCCTCATGCTATGCAAGTGCAATACCGCTGTGCAATATTCCTGGCCTTTTACTACTTATTTATCTACTTCTTTTTTAATTAATTACTTAATTAATTCATAGATAAAGTTTTGCTAAATTGTCTAGGCTGACCTTGATCTATGTAGCCTAGGCTGACCTTGATCTATGTAGCCCAGGATGACCTTGATCTATGTAGCCCAGGCAGGCTTTTCAACTTGTCATCCTCGAGTAGCTGGGACTATAAAGCTGGCTAATATACAACTACATGAAAAGTTGCCAGTTGCAGGTCCTCGATACTGGTTTGTGCTAGGCAAAGAAGATATCAGTGTGTCCTTCCATCTGAATGTCTTTGCCATGAGAAAGACATATCTTGCTCTCCCAGGGTATGCTGGCTTTGCAGAGCTTTCTCATGTGTATCTCAGCTCTGACTCTTGCCTCTGCTAAAGTTGTGTTCCCTGTGCCTGAAGGGCAGTTCAACGTTCTTTACGTCATATCCCATGTCCCTGAGCATGAGTTCAGGGTGCATACTCTCCCCACTGACCATAAACCTCCTATATATTTCATGCTGCACATACAGTAGTTGCCTATTAATCTGAGGTTTGGCTTTCCACCATTTCAGTGACTTGTGGTGAACTGTAGTCTGACAATACTGAGCAGCAAATCCCAGAAATAAATAATTCGTAAATTTTAAAGTACTCAGCCTTCTGAGCACCATAATAAAGTCTTGTGCACATTATTGCCATCCCTCACAGGACATGAGTCCAGCATATCTGCATAGTATATATCACCTGCCCATTAGTGCCTGAAGAGTCCTGTAGTTTGTCAGACTGACAATCTCAATTATAGTGTTTGTGCTTAAGAAACTCTTATTTTACTTAACAATAGTTCCAAAGCTCAAAAGTACTGGTGCTGGCAATTTTATTACAGCAGGTTGTTGCAATTGTATTTTATCAGTCATTAATCAGTCACTGTGCCTAATTTGTAAATGAAACTTTATTATAAGCATATAACATATGGGAAAGAATTCAGTATGTGTAGGTTTCAGTGCTGACAGTGGTGTCAGGCATCTATGGAGAGTCTTGGAACACCTCCCTCTCAGTTGGGGGGCTTCTGTGTCTTCACTGGCATTTTCTTCCAAAATGCCCTTCCTGAAATGTAAAAGAGCCCTTAGGTTAACAACTCACCATAGGTGAAATACTGAACCTCTGGTGGGAGCGTGACTGTGCTGAGGTCACTCTCTTTCACGTAGCTATCCACATACTGCTGTGCTTTCGTGGCCTGTAGGAAAGCTAGGAACCTGGCTGTGAATGCAGCAATGAAGATAGAGAGCATGCCAAAATCGAGCACATTCCACAGCTGCATGATGTATTCCCGGGGTCCTTCCAGCCAGAGCTCCTTGCACTCGGACCACATCATTCCTGCACAACAAATTGTGGATTAGGTTTTACATGTTCTGTCCTCCACCAGGCTGCATCCAGGAAAGGTGAACCTTCAGAGGCAACTGATCACGTGGAAGTCAGAATTTGAAGAAACACATGTGGTGCCAAGAATGCCACTGCTTATAAACTAACTCTGTGCGCAGCTACAACTGAAGGAGGACAAGAAAGAAGCAAGGACAGTTCTGCCAGTCCAGGGTTTGTTCTTCAGGCATGAAGTTTTGGAAGGAGAGGAGAAAAGGGGTCCCTATGAAATCAGAGGCTGATTAATTTAAACCATAGTAATATGGGGGTAGGAGAAGCCTCAGATGAGAAATGCATTGTAGACATTTAACAAAAGTCATGTCCCTGTTCTCCCCAACTCTCTTTCCCCATTTCCAGTACCTACTGGGGAGGCCATGACATCATCTGAAAAAGACCCCATCCTTATGTAGGAGACATGCTAACGAGGAAACAAAGCAGAAAATACCTTTTAGGGAGACAAGGATGAAGTAGTCCACTTTAACCAATTGTCATGACTATGCATACAGGGATGTCCAATCTTTTGACACTGTGATATGACATCTACAAATATGTGGACCATATACATCATGGGTTACAGGCTAGACACATTTGACAGGGAAATGTTGTAACATTTTTAAAAGAAAAGTAATGGCTCAAAATAAAAGTTATGAAGTAATGACTTTCCCCAGCATGAGGCCACAGGGTGAATAAGTAAACAACTACCTACTGACTCAGGAGATGAAAAATACAAGAAATAGATAGGCTAGGACAACATAACACAAGAATGACTTGGTGACAGAAATTAATGTACAAATTTATTCCATTTCCTGGGGTGGAGAAGAATTTTTTTCTCATTATTTAAAAGTTTAGGGGCTGGGGAGGTGGCTCAGCAATTAAGAGCGCTGGCTCCCAGCACCCACATGGCAGCTAACAACCATCCATAACTCCAGTTCCAGGGGAATCTGACACCCTTTTCTGACCTCCCTGGGTATTGCATAATACAGGTGCACTTACGTACATGCAGGCATAGCACTCCTACACATAAAATGAAATGGCATAAAAATAAAATAAATTTAGTTTAACATAACTGCTTAAAATGGGTTATCACAAAATTAACATTCTGAAAATGGAAACTCCCTTAAAAGCTCTAAAACCAAAGCAATATATAATCAAGGTTCTTTAGTCACAAATATTTCAATTAAAAAAATTGATCATCAGGGTGGGGAGATGGTTCAATAGTTAAGAATACTGGCTGCTGGGGCTGGAGAGATGGCTCAGTGGTTAAGAGCACCAGCTGCTATTGCAGAGGACCTGGGTTCAATTCCTGGCACCTACATGGTAACTAACAACCACCGGTAACTCCAGTTCCAGGGGAATCTGATGCCCTCTTCTGACTCCGAGGGCACTGCATGACATGGGTGAACTTATATACATGCAGGCAATACACTCATACACATAAAATAAAAATAATAAAAATTTTAAAAAAGAGTACATAAGCTGGGCGTGGTGGCACACGCCTTTAGTCCCAGCACTCAGGTGGCAGAGGCAGGCAGATCTCTGTGAGTTCAAGGTCAGCCTGGTCTACATAGTGAGTTCCAGGCCAGATGGGGCTACAGGGAGACCCTGTCTCAAAAAGACCCCCCCAAATAAAGAGTACTGACTGCTCTTGCAGAGAAATGGGTACAGTTCCCAGCACTCACATGGCAGTTAACAACTGTACATGACTCCAGTTCCAGGGGATCTAAAACCTTCTCCTAGTCTCTGCAGGCATTGCAGGCATGAGTGCACTTGCATACAAGCAGGCAAAACACTCATACATATAAAATTGAAATAAATAAAGTTTTAAAAATTGATCATCACAGTCACATTTACAAACGTATATTTTGTTATTGAAGTTAGATTTCTGAAACACTGTATCTTGTAATTCAGCTTGTATTAATTTAGTTGGTGTTAGGGTATAGCTTTCAGCATTATTTACTATTAGTCATTCAGTTATTTTCTCATTTAGCTTTTCTTACAATGATGATGTTCTTACCATTCTTGTTTTTCATAGAAAATAACTGTCACTTATGCAACTATTTTTGTTTTGATAGAAATTAAGAATACTTAAAAGTCTTACCAAGAACCCAGACCATAATTAGCATTTCTGTCCATGTGAACTGGGTGGTCTTCACCCTGAAGATTTGTTTCGGGTAGTCGGTAACAGTGACGTTGGGCAGTGTGGTGATGCCTTCAAACCTGTCTGAGGCATTGAACACAAGCAGGCCCAGGAAGATGATGAAGGAGGCAGCATGTGCCACGAACTTCATAAAAGGGCTTCGCAGAATTTTCCCCAGCTATGATATGACAGAGAGGGGGAGGGAAGGAAGAGGGAGAGGGAGCTGCTTTAGAAAATTTGGCTTCTACTTGTAACAATAACTATATAAGATAAAATGAATAATAAAAGATGTGGGAACACCTTCTGCTTGTTTCTGAAGAGCTGCTGGGGCTTGTCCAAGCTGTGGTCTTTGGGCCACATGCCTCCCAGGAGAGCTATGAATGAGACCCAACACATATGTAGACCCAAACATCAAGTGCAATGTCAAAAGGTTGGACACTCAGTGATGTGCACTATGAAAACTACAGTTTTGGGGGAGATGCTTCCTCTAAAATTAATTTCAAAAGTCTTGAAAATCCATTATCTAAATGCCCACTCTGCCATAGGTCATACTGTCCTGGCCAGTACCCTTCTGGAAACTCCAGGTCAGGAGCTGGCTCTTGCTGTTACATTTGCACAAAAAACGATGTAAAGTCGAAGGTGTTGGGGCCTGGGAAAAGCAATCTCAATTTGGCCTGTGTGATTCATTCATGTTTTGTAATTCACTTGTTTGGATGAGTTTGGAGACTCACCTAGAGCATTAAAAATTTCTTAATGAGTTAAGCATACACACACACACATTGTAAGCAAATTTAGTTTTCATTTCTAAATAGCCCAGAATCATCATACCATATAATATTTTAAAAGGCAGAAAATATTAGAATCAAGATAAATATTCTATCAATGACTACCTGTATAAAGAAAGAGATATACAGTAACTAGACCCTCTAAATAAGAGTTTAATTGAAAGTCATCTCTGATGTTTGAAAATTATGTATTATAATAAAGGCACTTCTGACATTCAGCTTTTTATTTATTTATTTTTTTGCTCCACCCAGTGGGCCTGCTGCAGGGGTGAGGGTCAGGGGCGGTGCTTACTTGTTTTAACATGGTTCCTTAAAACTGTCTCATATATACTGTTCTTAAAGATCCCATGTTCTGGGCCTGGAGGGATGGCTCAGTGGTTAAGAGTACTGGCTGCTCTTGCAGAGGACCCTGGTTCTAATTCCAGCAACCACATTGTGGCTAACAACCATTTGTAACTTCAGTTCCAGGGGATCTGATGCCCTCTTCTGATCTCTGAGGGCATTGGATGATATGAATACACACACATGCAGGCATAACATTCATATGTTAAAAATAATAAATAACATATTTTTAAAGAGTCCCAGGGCTTGGGAGTCAGAGGCAGGTGGATCTCTGTGAGATAATGGCTAGCCTGGTCTACACAGCAAGTTCCAGGCATCTGGGGTTACAAGGAGACCCCCCCTTTTTTTTTTAAAGTTCCATGATGTAGTAGAAATGAAAGGCCATTCTTTCTGTCTCCAGGGCCTCCACAATTCAACAATTAGGTACACTCAATATATTTATCAAATATGTTCTCCATTGAGCACATCCAGAGCCTGCTTTTTTCTTTTATATCTTTTATGTGTATGAGTGTATTGCCTACATTTAGGTGAGTGCACCCATGTTGTGCAATGCTGCGGAGGTCAGAAGAGGGCTTCAGATTCCTCTGGAACTGGAGTTAAGGATGGTCCGTAGCTGCATGTGGGTGCTGGGAATTGAACCCAGGTCCTTTGCAAGAGCAGTCAGTGCTCTTAACTGCTGAGCCATCTCTCCAGCCCCCAGAGCCTGCTTTTGAACTCAGTCTGTGACTTTAAAAAGATTAGGTGCGGATATAGATAGATGATAGATGATAGATGACAGATGATAGATGGATAGATAGATAGATAGATAGATGATAGATAGATAGGTAGAAGATAGATAGATAGATAGATAGATAGATAGATAGATGATAGATGATAGATGACAGATGATAGATGGATAGATAGATAGATGATAGATAGATAGGTAGACGATAGATAGATAGATAGATGGATGGATGGATAGATAGATAGATAGATAGATAGATAGATAGATAGATAGATAGATAGATGATAGACTGTAACTTCAAACAAGTGTGTCCAGGGCCTTCATTTGATATCCACAAATGACCAAAGACTGTTATGTATTTCTGAATCTGAACATCATGCACACAGACAACTATCACATTTTCCATATCAAACAGAAAAATAAACAACAGTATAGTTACATATCTGTGCTCAGACACAGCAGCAGAGGATGCATTTGGCACCAGTGACCCAAAGCACAAATGATTTGGGAGGTGCCAAGTCCATTGTTTCCTAAAGGTTGATCTTTAAAACCTTAAAAAGATGAAAATAAAGCAGTATACTAATTAAAAATTATTTTTATTATTTTTATTTTATGGGTTTAAGTGTATTGTCTTCACATATATAAGTGCACCTGTATCATGCAATGCCCACAGAAGTCAGAAGAGGGTGTCGGGTACCCTGGAACTGGAGTTATGGATGATTGTTAGCCTCCATGTGGGTGCTGGGATTCGAATCGGGGTCCTCTACAAGAGCAGCCAGAACTCTTAACCTCTGATCCATCTCTTCAGCCCCCGCACACTCATTTTTAAAATGGGGTGTACATGGAGAATTTTTTTGAGAGCATTGGGAATAAAACCCAGGGTTTCATAATGCTAGGTCAGCACTCTAACACTGAGCTATGTCCCCAGCCTAACAATTCTGTGTGCATGTGTGTACATGTACATGGAAAGGGCAGAGGTCAACCTCAAGTGTCTTCCTTAACTGTTATCTGCCTTATTTTTTGAATCCAGAGCTTATCAATTAGCTAGACTAGCTGGCCAGTGGACCCCAGGGATCCTCCTGTCTCTGCCCAACACTGGGATTACAAGTACATGTCACTTGACTGGAGAGATGGCTCAGTGGTTAAGAGCACTGACTGCTCTTACAGAGGACCTGGGTTCAATTCCCAGCCCACATGGCAGCTGACAGCTGTAACTTCAGTTCTAGGAGAATCTGACACTCTCTTCTGATCTCGGGTACTGCATGACACAGGTGCACTTACATACATGCAGGTAATGCACTTATACATATAAAAATAAAAATAATAAATAAAACAAAAAACAAAAACCACAAGTACATGCCACCATGCCTGGCTTTTTATAGGGATTCTAGGGATTAAATTTAGGCAAGCACTCTATCAACTAAGCTGTCCCCAGTCCCAAGCCTCCAGCCCTGAAACTGAGAATTAAGTTGTTTTTTAACCATATGATAGATAATAAGAAGCAGCTATTAATGGGGCTCCAGAAACTGCTTAGTTCCTACCTTTCCCTCCTCAAGAAACATGACTACAGAGTTAGCTGCATTTTTTAAAGTGAAGAGAGAAAAAGGAGTGCAACCCAAAATGCCCACCTCAGCTCTGCCCTGCTTTAACCAACTGAGCTTCCTCAAGAGACAGATTCTTGGGAACTGGAATTTTCCAATGCACTCCCCCAGAAAAAGGAAACCATGGTTACATTATGACTTTCTTCTCACTGCAGGCTCTCATTTCATTTATGTGTTAACCTTTGGTGTCTATGTATTTAAAGATTCGTGTAGAATAGTTTATCCATGATACTTAACAAAGAATGAGTGGTTATCAGATTTGGTCAAAATAACAAACTTTCTGGGGTTGGAGAGATGGCTCAGCGGTTAAGAGGACTGACTGCTCTTGAAGAGGACCCAGGTTCAATTCCCAGCATCCACATGGTGGCTACGAACCGTCCTTAACTACAGTTCTAGAGGAATCCGAAGCCCTCTTCTGACCTCCGCAGCATTGCACAACATGGGTGCACTTACATATACGCAGGCAATACACTCATACACATAAAATAAAAATAAAATAAAATAAATGACAAGGAAGTAAGATGGATATTCTCGCACATCCATGTGGGGAGAGGTAGGGACACTGCTACATCAAGGCAATGACAGACTTCCAGGGTCATATGTAAATAACATTGACTCATTTTGCTTGAAACTGACTCCGATTTAAACAAAACCAGACTGGAGAATATAAACATGAGATTAAAGGCTCTAACAGCAATCCTTCTCTGGGGCAGTGCCCTTTCTTAGATTCTGTTCCTATGATTCATATTCTCTTCCATATCTTGTTTGGGGGATTTCTTCAGAACAACCAAATTAGCTTTACATGGGCAGGCTGAGAGAAGAAAGGCACTGAAGAGTGATCAAAGCAAAACTAAGCAGTGTTAAAGAAAAAATTAAAGCCCCCATCCCAAATTCTCCATATTTTAGAACTTTCTGAAAGAACAAAGGGCTTGAGAAACATGCCATGCACATGCCTGACAGCTAGACGACACCACTGTTTTCCATATGCTTACCACTCAGTCAGGGGAAGATTGTGGGGGGCTCCCAAGTTTACTGTTTCGAGATCCTGCCATAGTACAGCTGTCTGCTTCCCTCTGTCCCATAGCAGCTTAGGCCCCGTTCTGCTTATTAAGCTGTCAGTACCATCCATAGGAATGCTACCTCCCTCCAGTCACTTTAACTCCTTTCTGTCTACCATAGGGATTTTAGTCTACAAGCCTAAGCCTGCCATGCTTGCAAATGTGATCTATCCTGTCAGTACGAAGTCCTTTCCCATTCCTTCCTTGATTGATACCATTAAAAAGTAGGCCTGCCTTTAATCCCAGCACTCGAGAGGCAGAGGCAGGTGGATCTCTGTGAGTTCAAGGCCAGCCTGGTCTACACAGCAAGGTCCAGGCCGGCTGTGGCTAAAGGAAGCCCCTGTCTCAAAACTACCAAAAAAAAAAAAAAAAAAAAAAAAAAAAAAAAAAAAAACCCAACAAAAAAGTAGAATCTGTATTCCCGAGTCAACTAACATGCCTCATTAAAGAGGTGGGAGCCTGACAGCCTGACATCTAGTTTTTGCTCTTCCCCCACCAAAGATACACATTACACAAACCACAGAGGGACGGCAAAGAGGCCAGTACCTTGCTACAAGGCGCAATCCAATAGCCAATGGCGAGGAACGGAAGGCCCAAGGCGACAACCAGCACAACCAGACATTTGATAGCTATGGTCTGTTCTCGAAGGCCAGAGAGGTTCTCATACCAAATCGTCAAAAGCTGTTGCTGGCAGTTGGGGTGAGCTACAAACTGCAGGGAGTGAAGAGAGAGAGGGAGAGTGGTTAGCACTCTGTGTCACACCTGAGAGACAGAACGCAGCTGCACACCAAAGATGTCAATACCTGTCTTTCAGAACACAGCCTGGTAAGATCTCCCTTGTCTTCCTTCCCCTTTTCAAAATTGCTGCCTGCTAGAACAAAAGGGAAACTTTGATATTGTTCTTAGTCACAGTCCCTTCTGATAACCAAAAAGATGCTATCTTGCTTTTTGGATAGCTCAGTGTGAAAAGAGCATCTTATTGTGTTGGGCCTACTGAGTGCTTATATGCTTCTGTCTTCCCTAAATTCACACTTTGAATGCCTAACACCCAATGTGCTGGCATTGGGAGGCTGGGCTTTCTGGATGCTTGGGTTCTAAGCACGGAGCTCTCACTAAAAGACCCCAGAGGTACTGTGTTTCTGCCATAGATGGTAAAAAGAGAACTCTGTCTGCAATTCAGAAGGTGACCCTGACCAGAAGACAGCCCTGTGGCCATCTTGACCTCAAACTTTCAGTGTTAGCGCTATGAAAAATGAGTTTCTGTTGTTTATAAATGACCCCAGTTATGGTGCCTTGTTGCAGCACCCAAACCACCTAAGAATGCTTTACTGAAAGCCCATTTTGCTTCTGTTAAAAAAAAAAGCTAGGCATGGTGGTGCACTCCTTTAGTACCAGCACTTGAGAGGCAGAGGGAGAGGCAGGCAGATCTCTGTAAGATGGAGGCCAGCCTGATCTACATACTGAGTTCCAGTTCCTTCAGCTGGGGTTACAGGAAGACCCCGTCTCAAAAAAAATTTGAAATTCAGGGTTCTGACTTGACTTGCTTTTGCTCTGTGAGATCTGCCTGCCTCTACCTCCTGAGTACCAGAATTAAAGGCATGCACTAGCATGTTCAGCTTGCTTTAAAGACAAGGTTTCAGGCTAGAGAGATGGCTCAGTGGTTAAGAGCACTGGCTGCTTCTGTAGAGGACCTGGGTTCAATCCAAAACATACAGTGGTTAACAACCATGCATAACTCCAGTTCCAGGGGATCCGATACCTTCTTCTGACCTCTGTGGGCATTGCATGACATAGGTCCACTTACACACATGCAGGCAATATACTCATATCCAGAAATTAAAATTAATAAATAAAAATATATTTTAAAAAAAGACAAAGTCTCATTATGCAACCCAGCTAGTCTTGGACTTGGGATTCTCCTGTTCCAGACTCCCAAATTAAAGATGCATGCCATCATGTCCTATAAGATTCTAATTTTTGAAAACTGTTTCATGTGCTATTACTTGACCTTGTGAGAAAAACTGTATTCACAAATCAAGACTGAAGAATTCCTGGGTACATGTGAAGTTTCTCAAGATCCTGTGGAGAACCCCAAATTTCTACTTCTTCATTGCTATTTTTAGGTAATTTCTTTCCTGCTCCCTCTATAGCTCCTAAATATATATCCAATTTATTAATTTATTTTTCAGAGTGTTGTAACACCTATTATCAACCAGGTACCTTGCTGGGCATTTGGCCCAAGGTAAAATGGGAGAATCAGTGTTACTTTAAGTCTTAAGCAGACATCTCTTTAAGATTCACTGTAAACTGTAAAAAAAATGGAATATAAGCCATTATAATAAAAATATAAATTCTACATACTTGTCAAGATAATAAGAATTTAATTTGAACATTGGTAGAAACGTCTTAGTATCTGAAGGTTCTGCATTTGTGAGAAGCTGAACAAATGCAGGTAAAAGGTTCTTTGGAGACTCCAGACAGGCAGGCTTAGGATGGGGAACTGTGCATATTAGAAAAAGTCACAGGTTGAGCACAGAATATCATCATCAGATTACTGCTTGAAAAGTCAAGCATGTACTTTTCCTAGAATCCGGGAGTAATCCAAAGATTTCTGCAAGATACAAAATACCCATGCAGTGAAAGACAAATGCACTATGTCCTTTTAGATCAACGGATTCATTCCCCTCTAGGGAGTGCCTGCTTCCTATGGCTCAAATGCATCTCCTCCAAAATTCTGTGGTTGTCAGTGTGATATTCTGAAAGGGCAGGGTCTGTCAAGGGTGACTAGAGTGGCCAGGTAGTGTTCATTTTTAGTTTCAGCTAGTTAGGAGGCTTGAGCCTAGGAATTCAAGGCCAGCATGGACAACTTAGCAAGATCCTGTCTCTCGGAACAACAATTTAACTAAGAGGTGAGTAGACCCTCATTGAAGAAATAAAGGCCCTCCTAAAGAGTTGTCATGAAGTGTTTAGCAAGTTTGCTCTTCTACCCTTTGGCCACTGGAAGGCACAGTGTTACACCCTTCTGACACCCCTTCTGGAGGACACAGCCCTCATAGACAGCTGCACCTACTAGTCCTGTCATCTTGGACTTAGCACCTCCAGAACTATGAGAAAACATATTTCTGTTCTATAATTTACCTAGCCTCAGGAACTTTTACAACAGCACAAATGGACCAAGATACTGCCTTTCTTACGTTTTAAGGTTTTAAGTTTTAAAATTTTATTGTTATTAGGTATCAAAATGCCTGAAAACAAATCCTGAGTCCATCACTCTCAAATCCAGCCTGGGAAGACAAAAGAAAAATGAGGAGGAACCCAATAGAGGGATGCTTTTGGAAGCTCTCATCAAGAAATCCCAATGGACTCTGATATGAACATTTGAAATTTGCCCTGTTCTGACTTTTTTCTAGTTCCCTGTCTAGAACTTGTAATGCTAATTACTCTTGCCTTTACTTCTCCTTCACATCCCCCTATTCACCAGTCAAGGACTTTCTTTTCTCCCTCCAGATAAGAATTATGCAATTTGGGAGTCTTTTATATAGATCACACTGAAGGGGTACCCCAATTGTCTCACCCTGTGTCCCTGTTCAGCATGGAAGAAGCCAGAGTGGTCTGTGTCCTGAGTCCCTATCTGCAAGCTGGGTAACCTCTTCAGAGGATGGTGTGATAAGAATAGGAGGTAGGAATTGGCTAGGCAGTTAGGGCAAAAAGACCCTAAAGAAAAGTAGCCAGTTTCTTGGCTAAAAGTCAAAATGTCCTTGGGCCTCTTAGCAACACTCTGTTCCAACGGTCAAAAATGTCAAAAGTATTTGGGAGTTCTTGTCTAATCCCTAAAAGATTTTAGGGTTACCTCTTCAGAGGGGGGAATGTTAGAGTAGCAAAAATCCCCATTAAAAGAAAGAGAGAGAGAGAAAGAAAGGAAGGAAGGAAAGAAAGAAAGAAAAAGAAAGAAAGAAAGAAAGAAAGAAAGAAAGAAAGAAAGGAGGGAGTACACGAAGTTGTCAGAAAAAAAGTGATGCGGAGATACGGGAGGTGTTGAGGGGGAGTGGGTGTGGATTTGATCAAAACACCTTATTTGCACATATGAAATTCTCAAAGTTTTTTTTTAAACTTAAAAAAAGAAAAAAAATTATTGTTATTATTAGTAGTAGTTTTCTTTTCTTTACTTTTCTTTTTTTGAGACAAGATCTCTCTGTAGCCCCAACTGGCCTGGAACTTGATATATAGACCAGTCTGGCCTTGAAATCACAGAGGTCCACCTGCCTCTGCCTCTATTATTATTATTATTATTATTATTATTATTATTATTTGCACATGCATCTCACAGCATGTATGTATAGCCAGAGGACAAGCTTGTAGAATCAACTCTCTTCTTCCACCTTTTTTGAGTTATGGGGATTGAAATGTTGTCAGGCTTGCATGGCAAAGGGCCTTTAGCCACTGAGTCATCCCCTAGGACTGCATTCTGAAGTGCAAGCTGGCCTGGAACACACGGCACTCTTCCTGCCTCAGCTCTCTCATGCTGGGATTACGGGTGTGAGCCACCTCCAACTCTTGAAGACAGAAATATTAACGCTTTGGTTTGGCTCTTTTCCTCCCACTCCTCCCACCAAGACTCATCTTTAAATAGAAGATGTGCTTTATGGCATTGATTACCCTTTCCGCAAGGCATATGTGTGATGATCAACATCAATCCTTGTGATTTGCATCATAAGCTATCAACACTTACTACATGTACACAGTGGCTGAAGCCATGGTGTTTGCACGGCACCACATCTGCTGGTTCCTTTCAATACACACAAATAGATCCAACAATCCAACAATTTAAAAATCCTAATGCAAATATATAAGGAGCATTTTAAAAAGCATAAAACCAATACAATACTAGTAAGCAAAGTCAGGAAAACCTGATCATTCAGGAGAGAAGTTTTTCCTCTTTCCAATGACTTCAAAATAGGACAATGACCTTATCTCTTAAAACCATTTTACTTCCTAGAAAAATCTCCTTATGCTGCCATGCTGTCACAGCCAACTGGGTAAGATTTGTGTGTTGCTTACCAACTTTAGTGGACCAGCAAATTGAAGTAATTATAAAAATAATGCCCTGATTTGAGGTTCTGTGATTTGAAGAGAGAATGCTTGACACATAAGAACATCTTTCAATGGGACAAAACTATCACAGTGTTATAGAACACACACACACACACACACACACACACACGCACATTACACACACAGCCAAATGAGTAATAGGATTTAAGCTGAACCATCAGCCAGGGCAGGTGATGAAAAACAGCTGAGTAAACTTACAGCTAAAAAAATTATATTATGCTGTCTTTTCAACGAATCACAAGAACTCTCTTCATGAAAATACTGTTGTAAAAAAAAAAAAACCGGTAGGAAAAATTTTCTTTTTTAA